CTGTTGTCTGTGTCTGGTTGGTTGTCATTTCCAAGGAAAACCAGTCTGGGGCTTTTAGCCGAGTAGGAGTAGCAGAGGGCAGGGAGGGGCCGAGCGGGCTCCTGCTGGGAGAAGCACACACCGTATGTCTCCTTCCTCTGCCTCGGGCTGGCCTGCATCTCCTCGCTGCCGGCTGCTGAGAGTCAGTGCAGAGCGGGAAGGAGAAGCCGCAGGACTGAGAGGGAAGGAGAAAGGAACGTCAGAATGAACGCAAGCCACTCTTCTTTGGGATCTGAGCACGACCCCTGAGACGCGGGCCGCCTTGGTGGGGGGGAGGCAAGTGGGACTGAGGAAGCCGGGCGTGGCTGCTCTTCTAGGCCACCCATCCTTGCTGCTCAGCTCCCTGAATCCCCACAACAGCCCTCTGCTGTGGGTAGAATTATTACTTTTTTTAAAAAAAGGGTTGGGACATGAGATAAATATATTTTTATTGATTTCAGAGAGGAAGGAAGAGGGAGAGAGATAGAAACAGCAACAATGGGAGAGAATCATTGATGGCTGCCTCTTACACGCCCCCTCCTGCTTAGTATTCAAACCTATTTAATAGGAAAGAGGAAAAATGGTCAAAATGGTCAATTATTTACCTTTCCCCTCTGTTGTCTGTGTCTGGTTGGTTGTCATTTCCAAGGAAAACCAGTCTGGGGCTTTTAGCCGAGTAGGAGTAGCAGAGGGCAGGGAGGGGCCGAGCGGGCTCCTGCTGGGAGAAGCACACACCGTATGTCTCCTTCCTCTGCCTCGGGCTGGCCTGCATCTCCTCGCTGCCGGCTGCTGAGAGTCAGTGCAGAGCGGGAAGGAGAAGCCGCAGGACTGAGAGGGAAGGAGAAAGGAACGTCAGAATGAACGCAAGCCACTCTTCTTTGGGATCTGAGCACGACCCCTGAGACGCGTTTTTAATATTTTTATTGATTGTAGAGAGGAAGAGAGAGGGATAGATAGAAACATCAATGAGAGAAAACGATTGATTGGCTACCTCCTGCACATCCCACACTTGAGGATGGAACCCGCAACCGGCATGTGCCCTGACCGGGAATCGAACCATGACCTCCTGGTTTATAGGTCGACACTCAACCACTGAGCCACGCCGGCTGGGCTATTATTACTCTTGCTTTATAGGCAAAGTGACTGAGTCAGCCCAATAAGCAACTTCCCCCAAGTCACCCAGGTAGGATGTAGCTGACCCAGAACTTGATGCCGTTCTCCGACACCCCAGCCGGTGCCTGAACCCATGTGCCCCATGGCCTGGATCGTGCTGTCGGTGGAAAACTCAACCACTGAGCCACGCCGGCTGGGCTATTATTACTCTTGCTTTATAGGCAAAGTGACTGAGTCAGCCCAATAAGCAACTTCCCCCAAGTCACCCAGGTAGGATGTAGCTGACCCAGAACTTGATGCCGTTCTCCGACACCCCAGCCGGTGCCTGAACCCATGTGCCCCATGGCCTGGATCGTGCTGTCGGTGGAAATGAGGACCTCCGTGACCCCAGCCCCCAGGACTCTCCAGCCACAGGGTGAGGCAGCCAAAGGATGTGAGGAGGAGCCAGAAAACTGGGATGTAAATCCTGGCTCAGCTGTATGACCTCTGAGCAATGACCCCACCTTCTGGGCCTCCATTTCCTTATCTGAAAAAGGGGGTCTGTCCTGAGGATCGGATGCGGCGACACAAACAAGCGCTTTGCAGAAGGTGACAAGGCAAAAAGGTGCCTAATGAGAAGGCTTGCTCCTGAGTGACCGATGAGACCAGGGCTCGGGTCTCCAGGGAGCGCCTTCAGCCCCCACCGCCAGGCGAGCACACGGGCGGTTTTCCTTTTCCCCTCCCGCAGAGGGGAGCTGCTGGCCCACTCATTCGGGGAGAACTGGAACCAGCCGGCCGCACAGCTGCTCCGCTGCTGCTTTGCATGTTCTCTTGTTTTTCCACTTCGCAGCGTGTCTCGGGGCTGTTTCCACGGCCATCCCTCTCTGGTCCTGATTCCCTGTTCCTGCCACTGGCCGTCCCGTAAACGTGGCGTCAGTCCCCGATGGCGGGCGCCCGCACGGCCTCGCCAATCTCAGAAGCCAGGCCACCCAGGTCATTTCACAAATGTGCCCGCACAGCTGGCCGGGACTTCCTAGAAGTGGAGCTGCTGGGCCGAAGAATTTGTGCATTTAGCAGATATTGCCAAATGGCCCTCGCGGAGGCCGTGCGGGTTGGCGATCTTGCTTGCAAAGCACGACAGGGCCTTCCCTGCCCCACCCTTGCCAGCGTAAGCAGTTGTCAAACCTTTGATTCTTGCCAATCAGCTCGGTGGAAAATGCATCTGAGTGGACTTTTTTATTTTTCTTTTAAAAAATATTTTTATTGATTTCAGAGAGGAAGGGAGAGGGAGAGATAGAAACATCAATGATGAGAGAGAACCATTGATCGGCTGCCTCCTGCACACCCCTACTGGGGATCAAGCCCACAACCCGGGAACGTGCCCTTGACCAGAATCGAATCCGGAACCCTTCAGTCCAGGCAGGCCGATGCCCTATCCACTGAGCCAAACCAGCTAGGGCTGGGTATACTTTTCATCTGACTTCTCTTATTCTGGGTGAGGCTGAGCATTTGTGCCCAGCCCCATGACTAACCTGTTTCTGTCTGTACACAGACGAGAGCCGTGACCTTGCCCGCTACCCCCTCTGCGAGATCCAGGTCTAGATCTGTGCCTCTCTCCGCCAGCTTCTTGCTGAGTCACACGCAGGAAGGAAAGGGCAGCAGGCTCAGGTTAGCTCTGCCCGGGGGCCATATGAGCTGCCAGTCCTGGGGAGACCTTGGTCTCTGGCATTTCCTGTGGGCGCCCAGCACCGCGGGCACTGGGTCACCGTACCTGTCAGACCCAGGAGAAATGGGGCTTCCAAGAAGGGATCGGGCCAGACCCGTTTGCAAACGAGGCGTGGAAAGGACTCAGCTGCATGTGGAGAGCGAACACTTGCAAGGAACTAATGAGCAAAGTCATTGATAAGTGACAAGAGGAAGCAGACCCTGCTCAGAGGAGGGAGGGTTTAAGCTGCTGGAAGGCACTTGGTCTGGGAGGGGAGTGAGCCACCGTGAAGGGCCTGGGGCAGTT